TGCCTGCAATCTTTCCCAGTATCAGGGTCTTTTCTGCTTTCTATATCAAACTCCAAAAGCGGTACTTACAAAATCTTTTTCTTTTAAAAGCTTGGCAACATAACCTTGCAAACATGTCCACCTAATTCATGCCATTCTCACTTTAATAAGCAATCACTACTGTAACAGGTATCTTAACTGAGTAAAAGGAAGAGGAAAAAAAAAAAAGTTATAGAATGCACTGGGTTCCATTAGGCTTGGGTCCCAGATTTTAGGTCCATTACATATTCTTTGTGATAAGAGATAAAACAGTGATACCTTCACTTCTTCAAACAACCAGACAGGGTCTTTTTCTGCTTCAGTCATTCGGATCACCAGCTAAAGGCACTTCATTCTTTTCTTCCCCTTTTCGATAGTCTGAGTTTTAAAGGTCTAGGATGAGTGACGACTCAATGACTCCTTCTAATTCTGTAATTCTGGTGATTTAATTGTATCAAGTCTGAAGAGGCTTTCCTGAGTCCTGTAAGGTTGAGGCAAGCCTCCTCTTAAGTGGAACAGGCCACAGCAAGCCAGCAGGGTCTTTCTGCAGGTGCGCCGCCCCCCCCCCCCACCCCCCGCCTCCCCCGCCCCGAAGTGGGTGAGGGGCCCAGCACAGGTTGGCAAACAATGGAAACTTCCTGTTCTGGGTGTTAACTTTAGTTACCACAGCCAGACAATGCTGCCAGTGGTGTGGAAGAAAAAATTGCTGTAGCCAGCTGTGTTGTTCACAGTCGGATGGATTCTGTGTAGCTCCAAATGGTGAAGGAGCCAGCAGCCTGTTGTAGCCAAGGACAGAATGATGGATGATCTACAGACTGTGTCCAAGTAGAGAGAATGGCAGAAGTTCACTTCAGGGTTGTTAAAATGCTAATCTTGGTGAGTTAACAAAAGCTTAATAGAAAAGTTTGAGAAATAAGTATACCTCATGTGGTACCTACGTGGAGCACTGATTCGATCGCTCTTGGTTATATAAACAGTTGCTTTTTAAAGTACGAACGTTTCCCAGTTTTCCTGTCGGGATGAATGGAAGCAGATTCACTTATCAGCGGCACTAACCACTGCTGTCAGGTCTGAGGGGAAAGAGTCAGCCTGACAATAGCCACCGTAACTGAAAAGGTTACGATATGCTTGATACAGTTATATGATTTTCATTCTCACCACGTGTCATGGGAATAAATCAAAACACACTTTTTTCCCCCAACTGGAAGTTGGCAGCTGTTCACAAAATATGCTGCAACCTAAGACACTGGCTTTGGTAGATTTTAACACTAAGTCTCCATTCACAGGAGCTGCTGACAGCGAGGTCTCCAGCTCCACTGACAGTTCCAACATGTGAATTACACTAGTACATTGCATTATTACTGTTGAAGGCAGAAAGATTGGCCCCTTGTAAATATCTAGTATGGACAATCATGCCTTAAAATCTTTAGGATGAAATAACATGCTTCAGAAAAAGATGCAGATTTACATCTCTCACCAAATGATCCAGTTTTGCCATCCTCTGTTTCTTTAGATTCTTACTAAGTTTAACGTAGAGAAACATGTCTGCCTCACGTGATGTTGGAACATTGGCTAGCATAGCTCCTTGCAAACGACAGGGACTCAATAAATGCTGACTGCCTGGCGTACCCCAAGTGCCTCTTGCTTCCTCTAGGAATGAATCTAGAATGGGCAGGCTTAAAGTCTATTAATTGAAATAAAAGGTAATATTTTATCTTGCAATATGCTAAGGAAGGCGTTCACCTACTCTTACACCAATAATGGTTAGGCATTCAGCCAGGCTCTTAACTCTGCATAAAATGCATCAGAAGGGTGAAAAATGACCCTATTTCAGATGTATTTTTCACTCTTTGTAACTTAGTGAAACTCAAATGCAAGAACAATGACTAAGCTAATTACCAAGGTTTATTATGATGGAGCAGCAAGAAGTGAAGAACTTCTCCAGTTTGATTAAGTCCTTAACAATTATGGGTATCTTTGTGAATCCAAGCTCTGATTCCTGCTTACTTTGCTTGTGTGGTTTACAGAAATAGAAATCACCACACAGGATTCAGGGGCCTACTTACCCCAGCAAGGTACTGGACAGATCCTTCTTGTTTAGCAAGCAGCGAGTGAACTCACATCCACTGGGTTTCTAAGTAAGTTACCCCCACTCTACAGTTTACGTCACAACCATCTTTCAAATCCATCAAATGAGGGGAGACAAGGCCAGATGGTGCTATTAGAGGACTTCAAAATAAATAAGTAACTAATAAATAAATAAAAGAGGACAAGGGCAGAATGCCCACAAATCTAAATCAAATTCAAGTCAACTAGCTGTTTGCTGAAGGAGAAGCCACAATAATCCTAGCACACTGTCCTGAATCACAGAAATGTTTCTCAAATAAAAAGTTCACCTACGTAGCATCCCTCATAGAAACAAAGACAGGTAACAACCAGTATCCAGTCCGAACTAGGTGCTGGCTGTTAAAATCTCACCAAATATACCACTGGAAAAAAACAGTCTGCTAAACAACACATTTGGAAATCTCAGGGTTTTTTTTACTTCACTGTCTTTCTAAGAGAACAGTCCAGGGACCTAAATCAAAGCATAGACACTAACTATAAAATATAAAACTCAGTTATGGCTGGGCTACAGTTTATTTACTTAAAGATGTTCAAGTTCAGGGGGGGTGAGGTTCAAAAAAAAAAAAAAAGATGTTCAAGTTCATGGTAACATAGGCTTACATCTCAGAACTTATTTAGCAATTTCTATTTATCTGAGCCAGGGTAAATGTCTGTATAGTACTCACCAGCCTGACAGAATATGCCTGTCACTTACTACATTAAACATGACTACACACAACTTAATTTCTCAAGTTAGATACCAAAGAGAGGGAGGGGATTTTTCAACCACATGAATAAGCCAGCATCAAAACCTATTGTTAAACCACCAAAAGAACAGTAAAATCCTCACCTTGAGATGTCTGGGATAAGATTTCGCAATTCTATAAGAAAGAAACCTTGAAAATTTTCTCCAAACAAGTATTTGTCCAATTCTGGGCAGGGAGGGGAGACCAAAGCAGATTAGAAAAATGTTAAACCTTTCCCTCGGACTTCAGCCTTGAATAAAAGAACCCACTTTACTGGCCCAAATATCAAGTAGAGGGAAGGATAATTCTTAAAAAGCAACTCAACATTTTACTGCAGATTTAAACTCTTAGGAGCCAGAAGTCCTTGGGAAAACTGTCCCAGTCATTTCTTCTCCCAAGTAACTGGAAACACTACGGTTATTTTTAAGGGAAAGCAGTCGCCCATAGCAATGAACATAAGGGGCAATGACTGTTTACAAAGTCTGTGGGTCTATAATAATCCTTCTGTGTGAATCTCCCAGCTGAACGCGGTGAGAGGTTGGGATGCTGGAACTTCGGTTACTGACTGGTCACCTCGGAACGGGGAGTAGTACTCTCGAGTTTCTCTAACACTGCTACCTCCCCCTCATCTCTAGCTCCTTGGCATTTAGTTCTTCACAAGTTCGCGATTTAAAGAATCACCTGACAGCAGTGGTCCCAAGAGTCTAGACGGCAAAACATTTTCAAACCCAGTTCTCATCCACATCGTCAAGTCCTTATGACCTTTTATTTCAACCCAAGAGTTACACACGATAGAGGAAGCTTTAAGCCCTTCCAAATTACCCAAGGCAGCTGCAGTATCAGTTTCTGCAGACCTGGAACAAACGCCACCGCTGTCAAAACGGGAAATAAAAGTTTCCCTACCTTCTCCTCACCATCCCCCTGCCAGCGACTGCCGGCGCGCGCGGCGGCTCCCTCCCGGCTGCGGACGCCTCTGGCCGCCGAAGGGGCTCACGCAAAACTGACTCTTCCTTATTTGTTTCCATCCGTAATTGATAGGTAGATGAGAACGTAACACATCTCAGCGCTGGGCTCTTGCCGCCTGGCGGAGACCCTGTCCACGACGCTTCCGTGAATCGTTTCCACGGAGAACAAAGCTCAGAAAGTTGCGGGGGAGAGTGGCTGCGAAGGGAAACCGGGGCGCCGGGTGGGAGGCGGGGTGGGCGGTGGGCAGCTCCGGGCCCCGGAGCCCGCCCGCGGCGCGCTCGGCCGGCAGGGGGAGAGGGAGGGCGGGAAGTGGCCGCCCTCGGGGCCGACGCCCGGGGGCTGGGGAGGGGCCGAGTCCCCCGAGCCCCCGCCCCTCGGCACTACCGGCGGGCCGTCCGAGCCCGAGGCGCACCGACAGGTAGCCGGCGTCGGCCGAGACTGCCCGGGTGTGGGCGGCTGCGCTGCGCCCCTTCTCCTGGCGCGGGCGAGTGGTCGCCCGTCCACTGCTTGCCTGGCCCGGCGATGCCGGGGGCAGCTCAGGGGCTGCCGGGCGGGCGGAAGGGGGCGGCGGAGCCCGCAGCCGGCTCCTTTAGCCTCGGCGCGGCGTTGGCGAGAGCTGGAGACGTGGTGCCCGACACCTAAGCAGCCCGGGTTCCCCCTGGTAAGGTGTGGGGGAGCGCGGAGCTGGCGCTGCCTGGCAAGAAACTTTTGCTAGCCCCTTCCTTCTCCTCCTTTTTTTCGGGGGGAGGGGGTGCACAATGTTGAAGGGCCCCTCCCCCCAAGCCTCCAGCAATGCCAGTTTTGACGCGTCCACCAAACCTCCAGCCTTTTGCGCGTCTCTTGCACGGCAGGCGGAGAGCTGCTTGGAAAAGAAATCAACTCTCCAGTGCCAACACACACACACCCGCACACGTACACACATACACACACACTAGAAGCGATTCAGGCTTTAAGGATCTGGGTCCGATGCCCACCAGGCGCCTAGAGCATTAGCAAATTTTTATAGGGCTGTCTTACCTCATGGGGGAGACTTGGTTTAAAAAAATAATAAAAGCTTGTTACGCTCAAGGAGAAATGAAGATAAAAAATTGAAATACATATATATCCCTGTGTCTCTTCAGGTTTTGGTTTCTTCGGTATAATCCTGAAACTCGTCGCCACCAGTCCTTGCAGCAGCGGCAGCGGCAGCCGGACCAAGCGGGAGCAAAACAAATCGAGGCACGGCAAATGGTGTAATTCGATCCATCTCCAAGTCAATCCATCAGGCGAGCTGGAGTCTCGTTCCCTCCCCGCACTCGGCGGCTCGCGGCGCGGGGCCCACCCCCGGGCGCGGACAGCAGGCGGCGCGGGCGGCCCGGCGCGCTCGCCTGCCCGAGCGCCGCGGCCAGCGCCGCCTGGAGGCCCCCAGCCCGGCGCCGCGGCCAGGCTGACCCCTCGGTGGCCTCCGCGTCCCTCCTCCCCGGCGCTCGGCTGCGCGCCCTCCCTCTCGCCACCTCTCAAGAGCTGCTCCTTCCAGCAACTCCCAGCGCCTCAGTCATCCGGCTCGCGGCGGCTGCTGCAGCCTGCGAAGCAGCCTTTTCGCTTTCCCCCCTCTTTCCCTCTTTTTTCTCTCTCTCAAAGATTTTTCAGAGCTTTCCTCCAGACATCTAGAGGACAAATCATTGCAGCCCAGAGGAGCTGCAGGCACAGTTGCTCCATAAACTTATGCCTTACTTTCCTGATCTAAGATTTATTTTTTTAAGCACATCCTTACAAGCCCGCCCCCATATGACCTTTGTCGTCCCCCCCCCCAACTTCTCTTTATAACCACTAAGCAAAACAGCTGGGGAGAAGCAATCAAACATTGTTTTATCTTTATAAAATACAGAAATTGCCTACTAAAAATCCCATTTCTACTTTGAATGAAAGCCATTCAGTACAGTATAATTTTGCAGGCTAATGAGCCGGTTTTACAGGCAAGTGTTTCGTGTAATATGTTGTGGGAGAAATGAAAATGTCCTTGAAGTGACATCATTTAAAATTGACTGTCACAAAGAAAAGGAAAAGACTCACACATTTAAAAACGAGAGGATTTTAATTCAAACTTCATATCCAAGAACAGGTTTGTTTTATTAAAATTTCCAATCGAATTATGAATCACTGAGGGCTCTAAATGGCTGGAATGAACCATGATGCCCTCATTTAAAGAAAAAGACGAAAGCTTTTCCGCCAAACTTTTAATTTTCATTTGAGTATGGTTAATTACCGTGAAAGAGAGAAGGGGGCAAAGTATTTTCCTTTCCTCAATGGTTCCTGCTTCTCCCAAGCACAGTTACTGTTTACAGTTAGAAAAAAAAAAATACCCTGTTCTGAGTAATTTCTGAAACTTCCACAGATAGCCTTGAAACGGAACCCAAAAAAGACACCCCAAGGAAATGCTGCAGGACTCATCCGGAGAACTGTTTCCTTACTAGTTAACACTTTGTTACCAAAAGGAAGAAAGAGGATGGACCTGGAGTCTTTTAAAATATAAGCTCTCTTCCTGCTGTTCTTCCTATTCCAAGTCAAGGGTACCGGCGGAAAGAACAGCTTTGGCAACACAGCTTGGTGATTTTTCTGTTGTTGTTAAGGCTTTTGTTGGCTGGCTGGCTGGTGTTTTCGGGTTGTGCTGGGCTCTGACATCATTGCAAGTTACTTGGCAGTCAGGGCCCTTCTGCAGCCAACTTCTGACCCAGAAAGCTCTGCCTCTTTTACTCCTATCCAGTCATTCTGTCCTTTCTCCATCAAGAGAGCAAGCCCCGCTGCAGGCAGAGAGCTCTGTGCATTGAATGAATATGCAAAGAGGTGACCAGTGGCTTGACGAATCATATCGCCACCCACCTAGAGGCAGAAAGCTTAGGAGTTGTCCTCTGTCTGCAGTAGCAGCCAAGGAAAAAAAAAGAAGTTCAGTTCTCCAGATCTGTGAATTCTTTGTTGAAATTTTGCGATGGCCAGCTTTAAAGAGTGCCACCCCAGAGAGTGCCATTTACCTTAGACTGAGTTCTTAAATTCAAGAACGAAAACACCTTTTAGGTTGCAGAAGAATATGCTGATAGGTCATTTCGAGCCAAGGGTTAGATATGTTTTCAGTCTAAGTAGCAGTGTACACCTCAGAGTCAATCCCCATATTTGGTCCAGAAGGGAAAGAGAGAGAGGGAAGTGGACAATCTAGTGACACCAAAAGAATGGTAAAGAACAATTTTACTGAGCGTTACTTTTACCAAGTAAAAGTGCAGACCTAGGAGAGTGTTATTCAGGCCCTATATTCAAGGTGTAATTTGTAAGAAAAAGAACTTTTCAAACAACTAGAAGATTAAAGGCTATATATATATATATATATATATATATATATTAAAGGCTATAACATTCATATGCCCACCACTCAACTTCAACACATTTTAATATTTTATGTGTTTGTTTCAGATGTATTTTAGAAATAACACATTACAGTGGAAATCTAAAAAAAAGAATCAAAATATTACTTTTGGTCAGATAAAAATATTATTCTTAAAGATCAGTCATTTCTCTGGTTCCCAGAGTCTTGAATGTCAAGAAAATGACACTCTTTCTGTTTGGGTTTTAGTGGAGAGAAATCTAAGGGAACTGCTCACTCTGTGCAGTTTATTAGCCTTTGTCCTTTCGGTTGATTTTACCCAACCTTTTAGCCGTTTACTTCTCCAGCCAGACTGGACTTTCTCTGCTCACACTACAGTATGCTTTAGGCTCTAGCTGCTGTTGCGTGCTCAGGCGTGTCCAACTCTTTGCGACCACGTGAATTGTAGCCCACCAGGCTCCTCTGTCCATGAAATTTTCCAGGCAAGAACACTGGAATGGGTTGTGATTTCTTACTCCAGGGGATCTTCCCAAACCAAGGCTTAAACCCAAGTCTCTAACTCCTGCATTGGCAGGAGGATTCTTTCTCACTGTGCCACCTGGGAAGCCCTTAGGCTCTGGCATAGCCCTGCTGTGTAAAGTTCCCCCGTCACACTGTCTCTTGTCTACATGTCTTCACTTTTGTCTGCTTCTTGGGGTACCCTTTCTCCATCACTTCAGGTACTTTAGTTTCTGCTTTTCTTGACTTTTAATAATTTAATAATTTCACTCAGTTGTCAGAATTTCCCTTAGCCCACTAGCCCCCAAGAGGGATATAAGCATCTCTCTTCTGTGTTCTAGCACGTTCACTTCTTTAATTTACCAAATGGAAGGGAAAATAATTGCTCAGTATGTCTTCCTTACTGGGTGCTTCTTAACTGCGAGGATCTTGTCTTATTTACCCGGATAACCCCCAGTGCCTAGCCTGACATTTAGTGGACACTCAACAAGTACTTGTTAAACAGATCTGGCAAGGGAAGCCACAACTTTCCCAACATACTCTTTTTCTTTTATGTGCTGAACCAGAGAATACAGTTATCTTTTGATTGTATGCTTCTCCACAGTAGGGATTGATTCATTTGTATCCCCAGGGCAAGCATAGTATCTATGCAAGGGTGTTTGTTGACTGAGTGAAGAATGAATGAATCAAGAAAGAAAGACGACATTTGGCTCTTTTAACACCTAGAAAGAACACTTAAAATGGTCTGTGCTTTAGATGGTTAAGGATTATGCTTTTGTGTTTTCTGTAGACATCTCCCAGCAGTGATGTGATAAGTAATAACTTTGTTTACAATCTATTTTTTTGTCTGTTTGCTTTAGGAAAGGGTCAAAATTTTGTTTCTATGTTTCATTTCCAATACAGCTTTAACAATAAAATTCATCTGGAAATTATAGAAAATCAGTGTGTAATAGTAAAAGTTTATCAATTGTCAGAGAATACCACTCCTTAACTATTACAGCTATTAAATAAAACATTAGTATTTACTGTGTGTCAGTCTCTTTTAAGCATTTTTAAAATATTAATGTGCACAACAATTTTATGAGTTAAGTATTATTATTACCTACATTTTGCAGAAGAGGAAACTGAGGCTTAGAGGGTTTAAGTGACTTGCCTAAGGCCACGCCGGTAGTAATTGTGTAAGAGAAACCTAACCTCTTACTTAGTTATAATAGTGGTTAATTCTGAGGTCACAGTTAACAGCAGTGGTAAATAGTGAATGTTTTGGAAACATTAGACAACCTGGATTCAAATCCAGACTCCCCCCTCTCCTGGGATAATTTATTTAACTACACTGTGCATCAGTCTTCTTATCTGTGAAACAGGAGTCATAACAATACTTCAAATGGATTTTATGAAAACTGAATGGGATAATGCATGTAAAGTGTTTAGCATCTTACCTGGAACACTGCAAGCACTGAATAAATATTAGCCAATGTTATTATACATGCCCTGTAGGCAGAGCAACCTTGGAATCCTGCAGAATTGGATTAGAAACTTAATCCAACCTCACACTAAATGTGAGACTTAGGGTAAAAGCACAGGGTACACAATAGGTTTGCAATAAACTTTTGTTCCAATCCATTGCTTTAATTTCCTCATCTATGTGTGTGTGTGTGTATAATACATATATACATATATATAAAAATTCAGATATACCACTTACTATGCAGTTGATATGAAATAACATTTTGCATGAATTTTCATGAATCATACAGTTTAGAATGTAGAATTTCATGTTTCAAAATAAAAAGCTAGAGGTATTGAAATTTCAAAGGTAGCTATAGCTTCTGTGATTACTTTAATTTGAAATGCACATATAGTATTCCTTGCGTTCGCACATTATAGAAAGTGCTTTTGTGCCAAGGGATTGCTTTCGAAACTAATCTATGCTCTCCATGACATGATAAATCATTAATAATATAGACCCAAATCTTAGCATCTGCATAGGCACAGCTGGTCTCCTGTGTCAACAGTCTGCATATGAAAGTGACTCTGCCAAGATATTTCACTTTAATGAAAAATATTTATCATGATAAATCTTAAACCTCAAGATTTTACTGACATAATTCATTTCTATTATTATGTACTATGATAGCATACCACCACAGTTCTGCTTATGTTTGGAATGATAAAAATGTGCTTTTTTAGTCATTGTGATTACTCCATCTTAGCATGACTAATTTTGCTGTGCACTCCAAAGGAAGGGGGATGCACCACGCATTTATGGAAATAGTAAATCAGTTACTTAGCTAGTTTTGCTAATGATGCCTCAGGTGCCACTGTGTGGAAGGACACTGAATGCTCACGACAAATAAAAAGAATCAGGCTTTTCTTTTTCCATCAAGGATGAACAGCAAACAACCTTTAATAATACTAGTGCTTTTGAAAACAGACAAGAGGCAGGATGCTATCAACATTTTATAGAAGATCTTTTGAACAAACAGAAGCAAAATAAACTTTCTGAAGGAAAGGTCAAATAAAGAGGTGTTAACTCAGTTTGAGTTGCTTAATTTTATTTATACATACGTTGAGGAGGAAAGCTTAGGATATAAGGAGGTCAGCTTATGAGACTCTGTGTAAGTTCCTGACGGCCTTCTCTCCACAAATTTACAGTAACCAAGCCTCTGACCTTGAAGAATTGGGACCAAATAATACCTAATAAATGTTAGAATGCCTTAACCAAGGACAAAGACAACAAAAACAATCAAAAGGGGCAGAGAATTAGAAAATTTCATCTGTTTCAAAAATATATAACTTTTTACTTTGCTTTTAAAAATAGACCTCCTTTCCTATTATTACTATTATCTTTGCTTAAGTCGATGTTAAAATTCAAATCAGCAAAGGGAGAAGGAACTGTGACTAGCCATAATAGCATCACTTAATTCTGACACAGCTCTTGGAGACAGGCATCGTTTAGGAACAAAGAAACCCGTCCTTCTTTAAGTTAACCATCTTGTCAGGATTTTTAGCCCCAGTAGATGATGGAGCCTAGCGTCTAATACAGGTCTGTTTGGCTCTCAGGCCTAATTTTCTTTCAAGGACACTATGCTCTGAAAAATGGAAAGAGCATAAGTTAAAAAAACATGTCTTGAATTATAAAGGAAATAAAAACATTAAAAAAAATCCTCAACTAGATACTTAGAGTAAGGTTAAAGTGTGTGCTTCAGTTTCTAATTCTTTGCTATTTTTTATTTGTTACCTATAAACTAGTGTCAGGAATCCTTTGATGGGGTTTAAAACATAGCTTAAACCTATATACATTATATGTATTCTATTACCCATGTAATTCCCCTGGATTGCTTGTAAATAAAGAGAAAATAGACCTGTTTAGCAGCATGTGAATTTATATTAAAATCAACCTTACTGGTTAGGTTACAAATGTTTCAGTTAGTGGTCAGGGCTATGTGATCAAAGTTTTGACAAAATCATCATGATGATGATCCTCTAAGTGCCAGAACTTCTACATGTTAGAGCTACAGAGCAGAGGTATTGACAGCAACCACTAGCGCCACCTATTGGTTAAAAAAAGGGAATAGGATTCTGGGTAATGCCTGTCTTTCAAAATAAAGGCACACAATACATTTTTTTTTTCTTTGTTTCTTTTCGCTTTCCCAGATAGGATGCTTACTATGACGGGCATTTTGATAATATTAAATATATTAAAGTCATTTAAAAATTACACTACTGATATGCAGGGGAGTGAGCATAGTATGTGTACAGAGGATCAGAAGAAGTTGACATTGTGGGATAAAAATCAATAGCAAACACTGTCAGTGCTCCACTGTAATTAGAGGAGTTGTCTAAAATCCCCAGTGCCCTATTAGACCGTGATGAAGTGGCAAGACCCAGCAGCACACAGGAGATATATCTGGGTAACAAGTGTTTAAATCCGGGTCTGGGGTATGGTGTCCATTGAGTTAGCAATGGCACAAGCTAGGTGACAGGAGGTAATGCTTGCTCCACCAGCCCCGGTTACAGGGGTTTCATTTATGTTCTAGAATGAGATTAGGAGAAACCTTCAGCTTATCTAGGCTTTGCTTGGTTCCACAGGGTACTCTGCACCCATGTTCTCCTTGTCCCCAGATCTCTCTGGTCTTCGAACCTAGAACCTATCACATGTTGACAGTCAGCAAGTAAAAACAACAAGGCCTATTTCATTTTTATAACAGAATTTCTTGTCAGGGAGGCCCTAGTTAGCCAAGTTAGATTTAAACACTATCTGATTCAGCTGACTATGGGCCAGGATGGACTCCTGCGTGGCCATCTTCTAAAAGCGTGAATTGTGATGGATACTGAACAACTGCTTCAAATGTATTATTAAGGAAAGTTTTAAAAAGGAGTCTCACAGAGTTTTCAATTGTTTGAATTTGTATTTCAATTACAAAGCTGAAATAAGAAACTATTGGCTAAGAGCCTTTCTGGAAAATCCAGAGAGGTCCAGAAGTACTGTTTTTAATAGTGAGATTTTTAATAGTATCATGCATCATTAGGTAAGAATATTTCCATGTTATATTAATAGTTATATTCAACAGTAGACTTTTCAAATATTATTGCATCTGAATCCACGCATACACATGTTGTATGTGTAGTTTTCCTCCAAAAGTCCCTATTTAAAGGCTTTGTGAGTTCTTTCATTATATTAAAATTTGGGGAATTGTGCTCATAATCTATCCCAATATGTCCTGAATCTCTGGGTCATAATTACAGGATAGACAGATTCATTTCTCATCACAAATTTTTTTTTTTTAATTTTTTTTTACAGTTTTATTGGGATATGATTCATCTACCTTATGATTCACCCATTTAAAATGTATAATTCATTGGCTTGTAATATATTCACAGAGTTGTGCAACCATCCCCATAATTAATTTTAGAACATTTCAGCACCTCAGAAAGACACATATACCCCTTCCATTACCTCTCAGCCCCTGGCAAACACTCATCTACTTTTTTGTGTCTAGATTTGCCCATTCTGAATCTTTCATACACATGCTGTCATACGATACGGTCTTATGACTGGCTGCTGCTGCTTTCACGTGGCATAATGTTTTATAGGTTCACCCGTATTGTAGAATATATCAGGACTTCATTCCTTCTTGTAGCCGAAAAATACTCCATTGAGTGGCTATCACATTTTTCTTTATCCATTCATCTGTTGATGGACGTTTAGGTTATTTCCACCTTTTCATTTTTAGCCTTAGGTACGTCCTATTCAAGTGGGACTTTCTTGCGGTCACCAGTATTTATGACAGAACAGAATCAAACCCACTCGGGCCGGGAGACTTCTTCCCTTGCCCTGAGGGACCTGAGGAGCCCGTGAGCCCTCGGAGTCTCCCTGATCTCGCTTCTTCTCCTCCAGAGAATGAGAGCTGGAGGGAGCAGCTGGCCCTGATTGCGGGCACGGCAGTCGTGGGCGTGCTGCTGGTGTTCGTGGTTATTGTCATCGCAGTTCTCTGCCTCAGGTGAGCATCCTGGGCACCAGGAGGCCCTAGTGGGACCCCTGAGGCTGACCGCCCGCCCTCTTGCTCCAGGTTGAGGCTCCCGGGCTGTCCAGGGAACCTACCTGCTTTCACTTGGAATCCTCTCTGACTCTTGCTTCTCTCTTCCCATGCATTCCCTCTGGAACTCAGTTTCCTCTGGGACATGTGACTCAGTTTACCTCTTCTGTCCCATCCACTCCAGGAAGCAGAGCAGCGGGAGAGAAGCTGAGTACTCGGACAAACACGGCCAGTATCTCATTGGGCACGGTGGGTAGGCCCTTCCTGAAGGATGCAGGGCTGGGGCGAGAGCTGTGAGCCCAGGGCATCTGAGTGCAGTGGGAGTCGCCTCTTGGCTAACGGGCCCCATGCGATTCCCCAGGTACTAAGGTCTATATTGACCCCTTCACTTACGAAGACCCTAATGAGGCTGTCAGGGAGTTTGCAAAAGAGATCGATGTCTCCTATGTCAAGATTGAAGAGGTGATTGGCGCAGGTGAGCGGAAAACGCCTGGGTGCCGGGGAGGAGGGTGGAGTTGGTGGTGGGGTGGACGGCAGGGCCAGCCAGACCCCCCGGGAGAGGAGAGCTGACCCTCAGCGTCCTTCCTGAAGGAGAGTTTGGGGAGGTGTGCCGGGGGCGCCTCAAGGCCCCCGGGAAGAAGGAGAGCTGCGTGGCCATCAAGACCCTGAAAGGCGGTTACACAGAGCGGCAGCGGCGGGAGTTCCTGAGCGAGGCCTCCATCATGGGCCAGTTCGAGCACCCCAACATCATCCGCCTGGAGGGCGTGGTCACCAACAGCGTGCCCGTCATGATCCTCACCGAGTTCATGGAGAACGGCGCCCTGGACTCCTTCCTGCGGGTGAGCCCCCCAACACACCAGTCCACCCTGCCCTCCCCCAGCACAGCCAGGCAGCTCAGAGCCCAGGACAGACGGTGGGTCCCGTGTCGCTGCCCCTCAGCCCTTCATCCTCCACCAGGGAAGGTTGAGTCCTGGGACTGGTCTCCCCGTGGGGCCAGCCGACCCCGGGATCCGGAGGAGCTGTCATCTGTCCTTGTGACAAATATTTACTGAGCTTCTCTTTCTGCACCCGCCACCATCCGGGGCCTCAGGAATTCGAGCCCTGAACGTCTCTGCTCTTGGCGAGCTGCTGGTATAATGCGGGAGGCTGATGAGAGCAGACTCTATGAAGGTGAAGGTCGGGCTTTAGACCTTGGTTTTGGTGCTGCAGTTCGATCACACCTGACTCCTCACCATTCTCTTGCATCCTGTATACAGTTGGTCCAAGAGGGCTGAGCGAGAGTGTGGCTGGATCAATGCCAAGGCACGCCTCTCCACCTGGAGACAGGTGTCTTCAGAGCACACTCGTAACTTTCATTGCTCTGTTGCTGGGATGTCAGCACACCTGTTCTACAGGTTGGAGTGAGATGGGTCTTGAAGGGCAGCAGGCCCTGCAGACCAGAGAAGCGGGGACGAGCCTGCGAGCTCGGGAGGCAGGAAGGGGCGTCATGGCCCAGTGGCGAAGTCATTGGACTTGGACGTCCCAACCTTGCTGCTGTCTCCGCGGAACTCAGTTTTCCCTTGTCATCACGAATTTTAATTAAGAATTCTAGTTATGCAATTATTTGCTAATGAATAATACCTGCTCATTATCAAAGCATACCATTAAATATGTTTACTCAAAATTATGTTTTATAAAGATAGCTTCCATAGGTCAGTTTCACATTTTTAAGTCATCCACCTAATGCTAAAATAAGAGTAAATGTTTGTCTCTTGTTTTATTGAGATACGTGAGGATTCAGGAAAAAAGGATAGTCTGTAATTGCTGTAAATAAATTAATTTCATATTAAAGTCTAATTAGTCATCATCTCACCTCTTCATAAATATCAAGATACTGAATTCTGAGATTTATCTTTGTTTAGATCAGTTGGTGAAGATACCCAATTGTCCATTCATTGGCTGGGATTTTACCTAGGAAAGGGGTCAGTGGAGGAAATAATTTACCCCACATTTATTTATTCTGCTTTTGAAAAAAATTACCTCAATCTGGGTTACTAATTCCTTAAATATGCTCTTGGTTCTCAAGTGATAGGAGAACAATCAATTTGCTTCCTTTTGATTTATTTGCCAACTTTTACGTTGATGAACAAAAAATACAAACAAATGAACAAATAAGCAATCCATTTTGATATCAGGTAAGTGTGCAGACTATTGAAGGCAGATATTTTAGATATTTCAGACAAAGTTAACCCTTCCAAGTTAAACCACTAGGAACATACAAAGCCTGAGTTAGACGATCTGCAGAAATGTTTCACCTAAGAGACAGTGAGTTTCAAGGAGAACAGAAATCAGATCAGGGCATCACAAAATCTAATCAAGGTGACAAGGAGATATTCCCCAGAGAAGAACATAAGTGAAGTGGGAAGAGGGTAGGATCATTCACTCATTCATCCTTGCAAACATTCATTTTACCGTTTGTTATTAATAGCAGCAATCTGCTTTGTGTAAAGCTCTGTGCAGAGATAAATGAGAAATAACTTGCATTTAGACAGCAACGTCAAGTTTGAAAAGCAGTTTTATCAGTCAGAGTCCTGGCAGGGAACAGATGGCACATTCGACTTGGGCAATTTGAGAAACCTTTAATAAAGAAATGATTTGCAAAGGTGCAGGGAACCCAGAAGGGAGAGTTACCCTGGGGCCTGATTACCCCGAGGACCTGAGCAGCCAGAGGAGGGAGCAATTAGCGGAACCTGGAGACATGGTGGTGATGTGGAGGGGAACCCCCTCTTAGAAGTCAACTTCTAGAGGCAAGGTGTAGAGGAAGAGGACAGAGAGTGAATCTGGTGGAACAAATGGAAATGCACTACTTAATTTTATTTTGAGCCTTCAAGAACACTCAGTGGTAGGGATCTTAATTTTGCAAATGAAAAAACTGAAACAAGGAGATTCGTTTATCACAACTTAACATAGCACAGCCAGACCTTGAACCTGAGTCTTCTGAATCTAAGTTGGTGCTTATCACAGGGTCTCCCTATTCCCTGCCCTTTGGACTTCCTTATTATACTTATTTCACCATATCACATTACTGACCTGTTTTATCCCTTACTAGACTGAGCTTCTGGAGAGAGAGAAGTAGGTCTTTGTATCATTATTGTCTAGAACAGTGATGGGGACTGGAACCCTGGACGCATTTGACGAATGGAATGAGTGACAGAGTGTGCATCCTAGCTGGAGAAACAAAATATGCAAGAGGTTAACATCACATGTGGCAGCACACTGGAGGTGCTACATCCAGAAGCAGAGAAAGAGTACTGGAGACAGAAAAAGAAGGCTCGAATAACAGTGTGGTTGTGAAAGACTTAACGATGTGGGATCATATGAGCTGAGCCCAGCACTCTGAGAGACAGGTGTCAAAGGGAGAGGATTATGGCCGAAGTACTGTGGACCTCGAAGACAGCAAAAGTGGAAGTGGGTGGTGGGGGGCATGGTGGAGTTGGGGCATGACTGTTGTTTCTGGAGGCAAAGAAGGAGGAGATGTGACTGAAAGCACAGGATAGGATCATTGTATGGTATTTCTGAATTGGCACTTGCTGGAATTTGAAAATTTTACTCAGAGAGTTTAGAAATCATATAGTTTTGAGGAAAAGGTCATCCTAATCTAGGCTGTACTTTTGCGAGACAGCTCTCAAGCCAGAGGGAAGCACAGCTTGGAGAATCAGAAGGTATCAGAGAAATCAGGATGCTATTAGGGGTCACGACAGAAGATAACTTCAGTGGTGGAGTCAACAGAAAAGTAGGATTATATATACCAGTGATGCAGCACAGTGGGCTGATCTTTGAATGTCAGAGGTGGAGATGTGGGAGATGTTTCCAAGTTTCTCTGTCTTCCTGAATTTAAGAAATGTTGAAATATTATAAGTGATGTAGATGTAGGAAGTGGAACAGGTTTGCAGGGGGAATAATTAAGTTCAGTTTTGGCTAAGTGGAGCTTGAAGTGCTGGTATGGTGTCCCTGAGGAGATATCCAACAGAAAATTGGAAACTGTTTTTATAATTAGAGTTAGTGGACAAGGGAACTTTCTATCTTCCAGAGAAACACCAAAATCTAAATGAGCTAAATACTTAGAGAGAATAAGAGGAAATCACTGAATGACTGAAAGTAAAAGTGATAGTTGCCCAGTGTGTCCAACTCTTTGTGGCCCCACGGACTGTAGCCTGCCAGGCTCCTCTGACTATTGGAATTCTTCAGACAAGAATACTGGACTGGATAGCCATGGGTTTCTCCAGGGAACCTTCCCGACCCAGGGATCAAACTCAGTCTCTTGCATTGCAGGCAGATTCTTTACCATCTGAACCACCAGGGCAGCCCCTGGCTAACGAATACACTTTCTGAAGTCACATGTCCTCAGACGCACCGAGGTGAGAAACTTTTACCCTTCCCACTTCTGGACTGTTTCCTCCAACATAGAAGCCACACAGTGGAGAATTATGGGGTTATTCCCATTTCTCACTCATGTCTTGCAAACACAGAAAAAAATAGATAGGGCACTTCATCATATTTTATCTAGTACCTTTTTGAGCTGACTGTTTGGTGATATTTTTTCAGCCTGACACTTTTACAGAAAATGCTGATGGATACTTTAAAAACTTTCTGTGAAACTATCCAAAATCATTATGTTAGATTTGCTAAGGGAACGTCTGTCTTTCTTAGTGTCCTTTCTCATCTAATTCTTAGATGAGGAAAAATGTCCACAAATTAGTTTACTTAAACCATTATCACTCCATGTAAAATTAGGCATCTGTAGGCTCTGCTTATCAGTACTTGCTGCTAAACTCTAAATGAACTCGGAGGAATACAATTCAGTGGCTTCTTCTCTAAATTATCTTGGACATCATGAACATCACCATTCTACTTGATTTGAAATGTTAACATGAAATATAATGGAGAGTGGATCATTTCAGAGTAAGAAATCACATCTTGACAGTTAGGTGATGAAATGCTATAACGATAAAGATTAGATCACTTCCAATTCTCCTTACAAAAGTTCTAGATAAAATAGAATATGACTTTAATTCTTCAAGGACAGTTTTCCTTCTTATTTAGAAAAAGAAAGTTTATGACAAGTGAGTGTGGTAGCCATGATTATTGTCATATTATGTAATGATCACAGTGAGCTTTGAAGTAACAGTATTTTCAAGAACATTTATACTGTCAAACTTAGAGGATTAGAAAAACGGCCACTTTATTTTTTCTTATAGTGATTAGTTTTCATTTATATAATGTAGGTCACTTAAAAATATATGGTGTTTTCCTAACATTTAGGGAGGAGAGAGAGGAGAGAAAAAGGAGAGATGGGCAGAAAAGAAAAAGTAGAGCAAAAGAGTGAAAGAAAAGGAAGACAAATAAGGAATCTAGTTAAATTTAACGACACATTTCCAAGAAAAAATAAAGTCTTTAGCAACATCTGCAGTTTCAATTTCCAAAGTGTAGGTACTTACATAGGCAGGAACTTACTTGTTTTCTTTTTGTTTTATTATTTGCCATTAACAGAAGAAGAAATAAAATAGATATAAGTATTTGTTAATTTCATGCAAACTATTTCAAATTACACAGAATGTCATAGAATGTATGCTTAATTACATAAGCAACCTTTGCATTAAAAACATCACTTTATTGCCCTCTATAAACATTTTATGAATCCATTTAGTTTATGGTTAAATTAAGGGGAAATGAAAGGCAGGGATAAACTACAAAGGATTCTTTCTTTATTGTTTAAACTGACTTCATTAAAACTGTAGTTTAGCGTGATGTATATCTGATCAACCCAAGCGTAGAGACGGGACAAAACTACACTTATATTAGTCAAATGTTGAAAAAGTAGTGTTTGGCTTTTGATGAATATTTAATATGCCAGAGAGCTCTCAAGATTCCACTTTAGCTGTGAGATCTGGAGCAATTTTCACCAGGGACTAAACTGCTGATCTGGCCTCCTGGGCTCCCTCTACCACTCGCTCCCTCTGATACTCCTTAAGTTGGAGAGAGGCAGAAAAACACAACATCCTGTTGCCCAAACATTCTCTATGTGTGCTCTGTCAAAGGAGAGGACTGGAAAAAGGCCTCTGGGCCTGAGACAACTCCCACTTCGCGGAAGCAGGTTCTGCTTGGTTTGAGGAGCATGGCTACCCTGCAAAGGTTTCTGACTCCTGCTAATGGCCTTAAGCCTTCAGGGCTTGATGGAAAAACCAATGCCTTTTCATACCGCAGCCGGGCGTCTGGTCCTGATTGGAGCACCTCCTCCCTTGCCTTTTGATCAGCACAAGTCAGGGTAGCACAAGGACACAGGACTTTCACAGAAGACTGGCCTTAGGGACTCCTACAGCTCAGAGGCATTGGGGAAAGCAGAGATTGGGAAGCCTGGTGTGATTAGCAAGTGATTGTCTGCTTGAAGTGGGAAATGGGGACTTTGCGGGAGGAAGGGGGTTAAAAAACTGGGGAAGAATGAGTTCTAAAACCCTCTGCCAAAGATTATGGAAATCATTAAACCATATATTATTTTATTCAATTACTTTACTAGAGTGAGTGCAAGGAGCACAGATTTTGTTTTTTTACTTAGCTTTAGTATCCCAACCATTCCATTTCAGTTTCCTCTTCTGTAAGGTTGGTATAATATGTAACATGAGTAGGAGTTAGGAGTAGAGTAATTTTGTGAGAATGTATGTGAGTTTTATAGAGTAAAACTGTAAAACTACATATTAAGGTTAGGCATTACTAAAGTCCAATGACCAACATGGTCATATAGCTCATAGGGTGTTTTGATAAATGTTATGCACCGCCCCTCTCTCTTTTCCTTCTCCATCAGTGACCTGTTTCTCCGGTGTCTTTCTCTCCTCTCTCATGGACACCGCTGCTTTAGTGATTCACTGTTATATTGTGTCCCATTAGCTCTTCAGAGTATAAAGAGTGTAAAAGAAATTGTCTTCAGCAATGAGTGCTAGAAAGCAGGCACCATATTTGTATCCCTAGTGCTTAGGTCAGTGTTTGGCTAAATACAAATTTATTGAAAGGACAATTTGAGTGATAACACAGAGATGATTACCAGAAAGGTGAATGTATTCCTACGACTACACTACAGATATTAAAAATTTTAAATACATCTTAAGTACAGCTCTGAAACAAAACTAGAATAGGATAATTCTCTACCATGATGAAAATGTAAACTGCTCGAATCGAAATCCAATATGGTTCTTAGCGTTAAAATCCAAGAACTCCTCTTAAAGAAATAAAAAGCCATAGATACCAGTCATCTATTGCTACTACATTATATGCTATGATTTTGAATGTGATGCCCAAACAATAAATCAGAAAAGTAAAATATAATCATAAATATTAGAAAGAAAGAAGCAAACATGGTAAAATTTATAGAAGGATAAGAGAGTTTAGCAAGATCAATAGTTTATAAAATAATGTAAAAATCATGAGTTTTCCTATAAGCCAAATACCACACAGATATTGCCATGTTTAATGGGAAAATACTGCACTCACAAAGGAAAATTACACATAGATTACCTGAGGACACACTTGGGGAGAAATGTGCTGGATATATACTAAGAAAACTATCATGTTCTTTTGAGGAGCATAAAGAAAGATGGGTAAATGAAAAATGAGATTTAGTTTCTATATAAGAAGTCTCAATGTGATAATAATGTCCAAGAGGTGAATTCTTTACCAGCTGAGCCAACAGGGAAGGCCAGGAAAACTGGAGTGGGTAGCCTACCCCTTCTCTACGGGATCTTCCCGACCCAGGAATTGACTGGGGGTCTCCTGTTTTATGAGTGGATTCTTTACCAGCTGAACTGCCAGGAAAGTCACTAAATACAGTCTGCTTTCCAGTGGTAAAGAACCCGCCTGCCAATATAGGAGACATAAGAGATGTGGGTTCAATCCCTGGCTTGGGAAGATCCTCTGGAAGAGGAAATGGCAACCCACTCCAGTTTTGTCGCCTGGAGAATCCCATGGGCAAAGGAGTCTGGTGGGCTACAGTCCATAGGGCAGCACAGAGTTGGATGTAACTGAAGCAGCTTAGGACTAAATAGAGTGTAACTGCAATTAAATTCCCAATGCTTTTTTTGTGTGTGGAGGTACTGAAGACTACTTTAAAGAACATTTAGAATAACAGTTTCAGACAGAAGATAACTCTTGCTTACTCATGCAAAAATGTGCATATTAAAGCTAAAACAACTAAAACAGTGCTTCAGTGATGCAGGAAGAAGCATTCAAGTCAATGGACAAGAGTAGCGTATAGGGATAGACACACATTTTAAAGTACAAATTAAATTCATCATAAGATGCAAATTCACATAGTAGCATGTCAAACAACAGCAAAAGGATAAATTATTAAATAACCAAACTAAAAAACTGGCTATCCAATTTGGAAAAAAAGCTGGAATCCTATTTCACACTTGATTGCCTACCTCCAAATAAATTTCTACTGGATCAAATATCTAAATTTTAAAAAGAGTGTAAATAATTGTTTCCACATACCTCAAATAGGGATAAAAACCAAAAATCAGAGAAAAAGATTAGCTTTTTACTATAAAAATGCAAAAGTTTATATACAGTGAAAAATATAATAAAACCTGAAAATATCACTTGGAAACTGAAAGAACAAAAGGGTTATTATTATTTTTTTTTAAATAACAGCTGTATTGAGATATAACTCACAAATTAAAATATTCATTCTCTTAAAGTATACAATTCAGTGGTTTTTAGCATATTGACAGAGTTGTGCATTCATCAGCACAGTCTAATTACATCTCATCGGCCCTAAAAGAAATCCTGTACTCATAAGCAGGCATTCCACATCCCTCCTTCCCCTGCCCCTGGTAACTGTGAATCTACTTTCTGTCTTTAGGTTTGCCTGTTCTGGACATTTCATACAAATGGAATCATGCAATATGTGGCCTTTTGTGTCTGGATCCTTGTACTCAGCACAAAATTTTCAAGGTTCATGGTTCATCCATGTTGTATAACATATCAGTATTTTATTATTTTTATGGCTGAACAATATTGTCTTCTATAGGTGTATCAAATTTTGCTTATCTATTCATCAGTTGATGGATATTTGGGTTATTTTTGCTTTTTGGCTACTATGAATAATATTGCTATGAAAATTCATACATAAGATTTTGCATGGACATATGTTTTCATTTTTCTTGGGTATATAACTAGATGTTGAATTGTTAAGATAACCCTATATTTCATTATTTGAGGAACTGCCAAACTGTTTTCCACATTGGCTGAATAATATTATATTCCTACCAGCAATGTGTGAGAGTTCTTATTTCTCATGTACTCACCAACATGTGCTACTGTCTTATCTTTTTGGTCATAGCATCTTCAGTCAGTTCAGTTCAGCTCAGTCGCTCAGTCGTGTCTGAGTCTTTGCGACCCCATGAATCACAGCACGCCAGCCTCCCTGTCCATCACCAACTCCAGGAGTTTACTCAAACTCATGCCCATCGAGTCAGTGATGCCATCCAGCCATCTCATCCTCTGTCGTCCCCTTCTCCTCCTGCCCCCAATCCCTCCCAACATCAGGGTCTTTTCCAATGAGTCAACTCTTCGCATGAGGTGGTCAAAGTATTGGAGTTTCAGCTTCAGCATCAGTCCTTCCAATGAACACCCAGGACTGATCTCCTTTAGGATGGACTGGTTGGATCTCCTTGCAGTCCAAGGGACTCTCAAGAGTCTTCTCCAACAGCACAGTTCAAAAGCATCAATTCTTCGGTGCTCAGCTTTCTTCACAGTCCAATTCTCACATCCATACATGACCACTGGAAAAACCATAGCCTTGACTAGACAGCATCTTAGTGGTTGCAAAACAAAATCTCACTGTGCTATTGCTTTGCATTTTTTTAACGACTAAAGATGTGGAAAATTTTTTCATGTGTTTATTGGCCATTTGTGTATTTTCTTTGGAGAAATTATTCAAGTTCTTTTGTCCATTTATAAATTGGGTTATTAGCCTTTTTAATTAATGAGGCATAAGGGGTCTTTATATATTAAGTATGAAAGTCCCTTAAAAGATACATGATTTGCAAACATTTTCTCTCATTCCATGTTTGTCTTTCACTTTCTTGATGGTGTCCTTTAAAGCACAAATGTTTAAAATTTCAGTGAAGTCCAACTTACCTACTTTGTATTTTGTTGCTTGTGCTGTAGTGTCATATCTAAGAAACCACTGCCTAAACCAAGGTCACAAGATATTACTTGTATGTTTTCTTCTAAGAGTATAATAGTTTTAGCTTTTACACTATGGTTCATTTTTGAATTAATTTTTTATGGTATGATGTAGGGGTCTATGTTCATTCTTTTGCAAGTGAAAGGACTAATATTCTTAATATATTAAGTATACTTCAATAATAACAAATACAAATATGCCAATAAAAAAAGGCAAATGATGTGAGCAGATAATTTCAACCAACTGATCTATAGAGGGGTAACATTTTCATTAGTAATCAAAATGCAAATCAAATGAGTTATCATTTCTCTTCAATAAGGCTGACATTAATTTAAAAGAATAGAATGTTCAGTATGTATGGGGACATAAGCATTCTTGAATGTGTTGATGGGAACAACTTGACACTATATATTTGAACTTAAGATGTGCTGATCCTTTTAACTAGACAGTCCATCTCTGTGAACTACTTCTTTTAAAAAGAATTAGGCAACTGCCCAGGGCTATACATATATATATACATACACATACACATATACTTCAGTCTGTTTATGATAAAAATAATTTTTAAACAACCTAAAGTATCTATTAATGGGTGAATATTTAAATTCGGGTGTATTCAGTCACTGGAACACTATACAACTATTAAAGTGATACAACATTAATATTTTGTGCATAGAAATATATCTACTATATACTAATATGTAAAGATAAGCTGTAGAATCTCTTATTTTATATGCTTTCATTTTTAAAAACAAAACCAAAACAAGGAGAGTGTCTGTGTATAAATCAAAATGTTAAAATTCCTAAGTTTTTAAAACGTAATTTTCTTTCTTTAACACACATCTATGTACTATCAGAATTTTTCTTCTTTCATTGAGTAGGGATTAATTTTATTAGCAACAAAAGCTTCATCTTGATTAAGAAAACCTAAAACTTTGTAAAACTTTTCAGTACGTTCTCACATAATGATACACATATAAACCTACTCCATCTTCCCTTCCCTCCAAAATGAGAGAAAGAAAACTGGGCCGGTTATTCTTGTCTCTATTACAGATTTGGATATTTCATGA